CATAGACTATTATGGAGATTGATTTTGGAATTTAGATGCACTCTTATTGATTGTGCTTGGCCGTACATGTTCATATCCTTGAAGATGTATCATGAGGGTGTTGCATTTGTGGTTCATTGGATAGGTCCCTGCTATTGTTGGCAATTACCATCAAGTTGACGACCACTCATAGTGACTTATGAACAACAGACCTGAACCTGGCCCTTTCCTATACCCTCTCTAATGTGCTCTAACCCATTGTTACAGTACTGTGTCAAACCATCTTGTTGGGCGTGTTTTCCTCTCTTCCTCTAACTCTTCGTGTGTCCCAGCATCATGTCCCTCATGACAACATGTCCAAAGTATGTGAGATGAAATGTTCTTATCTTTGCCTCTAAGGAATATGCTGGTTTCACTTCCTTTAAGCAGCCTTGTTTGTTCTCCTGTCAGTCCACAAGCTATTCAGTACTCCTTGCAAACATCATAACACAAATGCCCCAATCCTCCTTCTGTAATCATTATTCCCTATAAAATTTTCAGATGTACAGCAAGTAATTGAAAAGGTCAAGGTACACCTTAGTCTTTAAAGTAACATCATTATTACTCTCTGACACTTTGGAAAAAGTTTTTGACGGCAGATTTTGATAGCAACATGTCTTTTAATACTTGATATTACTGTTTACATGATCAGGCAAATGTTTTAGGTACTTGTCATGTGCATGGATCTGAAATAAACATCATGATATAATTGAAAACTAAATGATGCTGAGCGGTTAAATAATAAATTACACAAACTCTGTTCTTTATTATTGCTGTTAGGTGCTATTGAGTCAACAATCACTCAGCGTGACCTGATGAACAACAGATCAAAACCTTACTCTATTCTGTATCATCTTCACAATCTCCACCATAACAATTTCATTGCTGAAGTTACTGTGTCATCTTGTTGAGGGTCTTACTATTTTTTATGATCTTTCCAAACATGACATCTTTTTCTGAGGACTGCCTCCACCTGACAACATCCCAAAAGTACATAAGAAGTTTCACCTCCTTCCTTTCAAGGAGAACTCTGGTTGTACTTCCTCTAAAACAGATTTGTTTGTTATTTTGACAGTCCATGGAATATTCAATACTCTTTCCCAACACCATAATTTAATGGCATCAGTTCTTCTTTGGTCTTAATCATTGCTCAACTTTCACATGCTTATGAAGCAGTTGAAAACACTTGGATCAGATGCACATCAGTATTAAACCTGACATATTTGCTCTTTTGCTGACAGCAGTTTTGTTCTATGCAAAAGGTCTTTTGACTCCTTGACGACTGCGACCATGGGTGTTGAGTATAAGATTGTGATGTTGTGTAGGTACGAATAATCAGCCAAAAGAGAAGCCAAGTGCCCACCTAACTTGAAACAGAAACAATTATAAGCAGGTCAGAAAATACAAAGTATCATTCCATTAAATGAAGATAGTAATGATCATTGCATATAGTGAATGAGAAAGTGAAAATAAATACTGCAATGAGAGAAGGAGAAGCTATTTCAGAGGTGTTGAACTGTATATACAAAGGTCTATTGTGGGAGAGATTGTTATTGTTGTGTACCATCAAGTATGAACCAACCCATAGCAGATCCTCCAGAGGGTATTCAGAGGCAGTAATTAGCACAGGAAAAAATTGTCCATCTTTCTCCCATAGAGCTGCCGATGGATTTGAACTGTCTGCTTTTGCAATGGCAGCACAACTCCAGAGGGAAAGAGATTAGATGGATGAAGTCTCAGATGAGTGTAATCAGAAACTAATTAGGAGAATTATAGGGGTTGTTGTTATGTTGTTACGTACCATTGAGTCACCTGAGTTATAGAGGCAGATGATTTTTTTTTGGGGGGGGTCTGCAACTATTATAAGGGAAATTATTATGTGAGTTGTTTAGAATTATCTGTATGATAAGAAAGAAAGTCAAAACCACCTGGATGCTTTTTAATGTATATATCAATGAGACTCTGGGCCATAGTAATGCAGTTTGAACTAAAACTCAAAGTTTCCATCTTGATATGTTCTCAGAAATACATGTAGTAAGTTGTTGTTACGTGCCTTTGCTATAACTCATAGAGACCCTATGAACAACAGGTCTGAATTCTGTCTTACCCTGTGCCATTCTTACCTTCTCTGACACACTTGAACTGATTGCTACAGTTACTGTGTCAATACAATCTTATTGAGTGTTTCCTCTCCCTTACTGACCCTCAGCCTTTCCAAGCATGATGTCCTCCTCCAAGGAATAGCCCCTCCCAAAATCATGACCAAAGTCTGTAAGATATAGCTTTATGATTCTTGCCTGTAGGAGCACTCTTTTTGCACTTTATCCAACACATATATGTTTACTCTTTTGACAATCCATGGGATATTCTTCTCTAACACCACAGTTGGAGTTGTTGCTGTTGTTAGGCGCCACTGAATGGAGTACGAGTACGACTTATAGCCCCCTTATGAACTAAAGATCGGAATCTATTCTATCCTGTGCCATCCGCACACTTCCCAACACACAAGGGACCATTGCAGCAGTCACTGTATCAATCCACCTGGTGGAGGATCTTCCTATTCTTGACCAATCCTCCACCTTTACTAGCATCATGTCCTTCTCCAAGGAATAGCTTCTCCTGGCAACATGTCCAAAGTATATGAGGTAAAGCCTCATCATTCTTGTCTCCAAAAAGCACTCTTTTTGGAGTACCCTCTCCAAGACATATTTATTTGTTCTTTTGGCCATCCATGGATGTTCAGTGCTCTTTTCCATCACTACAGCTCAAAGGC